GGTTAAGGGTTTAGGAACTAGGGTTTTAGGGTGTAGGGTTTAAGGGTTTAGAGTTTTAGGGTTAGGGGTTTAGGAACTAGGGTTTAGGGTTTTTTCGCGGTTTGGGGGCTTAGGGTGTAGGATCTAGTAAAGTGTCGCCTGCATGTGGGATAGTGTACGGCTTAGAGCCGCTTCAGGTCTGAGCGTCCGGCAGCCAGGATCCCAAACCCTAAATTCTCTAGAACCGTATGGCAGTCCTACAGCAACCCCATAACAACCTGCTTGAAGCAAACGAGACTGGAGAGCGTCGCAAGCTCAAAAAGAAGGTTCCGGCTCAGGTTGTTGTTCTACTTTGTGGCGCTGATGTTTAGGATTCAGTGTGTACGACGCCGGGTTTGGGAGTTAGAACGGGTTGCTGAACCCCAAACCCTATACCCCCAAGACTGACAGAATCATACACAAAACTTCAACATGGCTTAAGGCTCGGGCTCTTTCAGTTTCTTTCGCGCCGAACCCTGCAACTGCACATCTTACCAGTTCGTAGTCGTGAAGAAAGGAAGGGCCCCATGTCTTAAGGGAATGAAGGAAAGGCCAAATGGTTTAGGGTTTAGGGTTTAGGGTTTAGGGTTTAGGGGTTTAGGGTTTAGGGTTTAGGGTTTAGGGTTTAGGGTTTAGGGTTTAGGGTGCAGCCTACCTCGGACCCTGTCAAGAGAGCAACAGTCTGTAGATTCCTCCAATCCATACTGCCCTGAGTCCTTCAATTCCAATCGAGAAACCCTAGGCCCTGAACCCCGAAACCCGACGAAGCCAAGCAACAGCCTGGTTGTCCTCCTGGGTGATCTGATTCATGCGGGCCTCGGGTGCGTTTGTGTCACTATTAGCTTTTGGAGTAAGTGGTTTAGGGCTTAGGGTTTAGGGTTTAGGGGTTTAGGGCTTAGGGTTAGGGCTGAGTTGAGGTTAGTAGAAGTACCTTGGTATGCGCATGGTCCTTGTCACTGCTGCTACGATGATTACTACTAGTACTGGTCTCAGCATAGTTCTTGCCGCTGTTCTGATTGTTGCAGCTGGTGTTAGCGGTGCTACTAATACTACTTGTATTACTTACAAGAACTGCTCCTGTCATTGCTGTTACAATCCTTGGGAGACAATGGTGGGGTTGGGCCGAGGGGGTAGGCTTTACGCTTGGTAGGTCCTAGTGGAGTTTTGCAGGTCTTCACTGCATCTTATTCCCAAAACCGTCATCCCTCAAGACTTCAGTGCCAGAACCCAGATGCGTTAAGCCCCCAAACCCTTACCACGACCCCTCCTTAACCCCAAACCCTAAAGCCTTACCCCGACCCCTTGATGACACGCTCAATGCTGCCCGGCCTTCATGCCCAGCATCGCGTCTTCTTCGAAGAACCGCGGCGCCTCCGAGGGAAAGTTTAGGGCTTCCGGCTTAGGACTTTCGGAGTTGGGGCTTGCGACTTTTGGGCCAAGAGGTTCTACGAGAAGAGGGTGGGTGCTCCTCTTGCAGCCAGCCTAGGAGGGTGTCACACTTCGAAAAGGTAGCTTCAAATAACCCTCGCATGAAGAAATTCTCCCAATCCGGCTCTTTTCTACTATGCAAATTGGGACCTTATTTGGGTCCCGGGTTCTGGATCTTAACAAACAGCACTGACGGTAATAATCTTTCTTTAAGCCCTGTCGTCACAAAGCAGATACTCACAGCAAGGATGCTAGCAATGCTGATCATAAAAGCTCTCAAGCCTAGCTGGTAGAGATGGCCGGTTGGGAGTTTGTTGAAGTGCCGCATGTGACTTCGCACATGCAACGGAAGTGCGCAAGAAACCTCACGCCAAGAGCCCGGGAACCTTCGATCTTCAAACCCCAAATCCTCAACATTAGACTCTGAGCCCTGAACCCTAGATCCCGAAATCCAACGCCCCAGGCCCCCTAAACCCTAAACCCCAAACCCTAACTGTAAGGCCCAAACCCCGCACAGTGTTCCCGGAACTGAGGCTTCAGATTACTCCGGGAGCCCGAAGGCAAAAATGAACTCGTACACCCACAACCCGGGGTCTAGGCTTTAGAGTTTAGAGCTTAGGGTTTTGAGTTTAAGGGATTTGGGGATTTCCGAAAATAGGGGACCCTGATATAGTACCCTAAATAATAGGGGCCTTATTATAAAGACCCCCAAAATAAGGTACCCCTAATTTCGGAAACTCCCATTTGAGTAGGGTTAAAGTTCTGTTCCAACCGACCTCCGGGCGGAGCAGGCGATAGATGCGCAAGGCCTGGTCATGCAGGCACCAAGGAGCTTCCCGAAACTCTTAGGGTTGAGGGTTTAGGGTTTAGGGTTTAGGGTTTAGGGTTTAGGGTTTAGGGTTTAGGGTTTAGGGTTTAGGGCAAATTTTTAGAAGTGGAAGACATAACCCAAGACTTTCCAACTGTCCTTTTGCAGAAGGTTGAAGGTACAAAGGCTTTAAAGCTTAGGATCCCGAAGTGAGCTGTAGGACCCAGCAAGCAAGTTCAATCAAGGGCAGCCTGTCTCCTAGCAGCCTGGGCGCGTGCCGCAAGCATGAAATTCGGCCGGCAAATCGCACCTCAACTCAGCAAACCTCAATGGCTCAGAGTCTATGGTTTAGGGTGACTGATAGCCGCGAGAACTGAACCCCCCAAGCCCTAAGCCCTAAACTCCACACCCTCAACCCTAAACCCCTAAACGCCACGCCTCGTTGTTGAGCTCTCTCTGGTGTGCCTTATCCTCGCATGAAGAGCCGGCGTTGAGGTTCAGGGTTTGGGGTTTGCTGGTGGCACCTTGTTCGAGGGATCAGAGCTTCCAAGCAGAACCTACACCCTTAACCCGAAACCTAAACCCTAAACCCTAAACCCGAAACCTTAAATCCCAAACCCGAAACCCGAAACCCTAAACCCTAAACGCTAAACCCCAAACCGGAAACCCTAAACCCTTAAATCCTACACCCTCAACCCGAAACACTGAACCCCAAACCCTAAACCCGAAACCCGAAACCCCAAACCCTACTCCTGAACTTACTAAGTCCGCTGAGCCTGCAGTGGAAGTTGGGCCTCTTTTCGTCTTGGCTTGGCATCTGAGGCTCGGAAGCCGAAACCCTTTCGGTTTGGGGTTTCGGGTTTCGAGTTTAGGGTTTGGGTTTGGAGTTTCGGGTTTGGGGTTTCGGGTTTAGGGTTTCGGGTTTAGGGTTTCGGATTTAGGGTTTAGGGTTTCGAGGTGTTGGGAACTAAACCCCAAACCGCGAAGGTTTTAGCTTGGGGCTTAGGGATCCTTGGAAGACAGTGGGACACACAATTGAACTTCAAGAGGTCTGACGGTATCAAACTCGAAGAACCCCCAAATCCCTACACCCCTAGGTACATCTAAAACGTTTAGGGTTTAGGGTCTAGGGCTTTCAAAGCCTCAAATCCTCAACGTTGGGCTGTTGGCTCAAGCAGTTTCCGGCGCAACCTCCCTGCTCTCTACCAGCTCTGTGTTGAGAGCAGTTTCGGGTTGAGGGCTTCGGGTTCAAGGTTTGGGTTTAGGGTTTCGAGTTTAAGGTCTAGGGTTTAGGGTTTAGAGTTTCGAGATGAAGGTTTAGGGTTCATAAAGAGATCTTAGATAATAACTAGACTAGGGACAACTAGAGCTTGGGGATTCATCATTGTGCTGTAGAGACAATGGCTGTCAAAGGATCTTAGTACCAAACATTCTGACCCCTTGGTTGGTGACCTGCAGTGACCCTTTCCCCCTAAACCCTAAACCCTAAACCCTAAACCCTAAACCCTAAACCGTTCCCGACCTCGAAGCGGGTTTAGGCCGGCGGTGCGTTGCGGCCCAAGGATTGATGGAGAAGGCTCCGGCCAGGTAAGCTCTGGGGAGCCCTCAAAGCCCTAGGTAGGTTCGGTTTAGGGTTTAGGGTTTAGGGTTTAGGGTTTAGGGTTTAGGATTTAGGGTTTAGGATTTAGGGTTTAGGGCGTAAAGCCCGCAACCCTTAAACCCTCAACATTATAGCCGTCCTGGACCTTCTGCTTCTGCTCCACCGTCAGCTGCAAGAGCGCACTCTGGGCTCCCTCGTCGCTACCTGACTTTCAAGGTTGGGCTTATGGCAGGTTTAGGGTTTAGGGTTTAGGGTTTAGGGTTTAGGGTTTAGGGTTTAGGGTTTAGGGTTTAGGGTTTAGGCTTATGGGGTTTAGAGTTTCCGGTTTTGGCGCGTTTAAAAGCGGGGGCTAGGGCTGTTGGATTTGCGGTACTAGATGGCTTTTGGGTTTCCAGACCGAAGACAACCCGCCGCAACGGCAGCCCTCGAAAATCACTCTTCAAGCTGGTAGCCCCCGGGGTTCAATGAACATCGTACTCCCTGAGCATCAGCATGTAAATCCACCTTTATCCGAGCTACAGGATGCCCTGCATGAAGTTCCCCTTCAGGGCCCCTGTAAAAGAAACTACTCCTTCCACACAAATACCTTACAAAAGAATCCACATGGAGAACCGAAAGAAATGCCTGCGAAGACGTGTGCAAACGTCTTATACGGGTCAATAACATGTCTGCGAAGCCCTCTATGAAACTTAGGTCTAGGGTCTAGCGATTGGGGAGTTAAAGTAGGGCTGTTGAATTCAAGGTTCAAGGGAATTGGGGCTTGGCTGAGACTGTAGCCGCAGCCCAAAACCCTGAATCCTGAGTCGTTTGCGGGATCTCGGAACTACGGGGCAATCAGACTGAATCCCGGCTCGGATCATCGCACTGCCACCAAGGTTAGTCGTGCATGCTCCACCGTTAACAACCTATATAGCTGCAACACCTCAAGCCCTACATGCAAAATGTTTGCCAAAGGGGCAGGGTACTCTGAAGAAGCAAACGACACCCTCTCTCTAGACACTCCCTGATCGATTCAACAAGCTCTGCCATGCACTTTAATCCACGAATCTCTTCTGGAACTAGGCGCACCAAACACACCATGTCATGAGCCCCACCCCCCTCCCCTTCACACCAAACTGAAACCCCTAGAGCCCGGAGCCGGAACCCCTCAACCCCAGACCCCCAAAACACCAAAACCCCGAAAGCCAAAACAAAGCCTCCAAAACCCCTAAACCCCTAAACCCATAAACCCCTAAACCCTAAACCCTAAACCCTAAACCCCTAACCTCTAAAGCCCTAGAACCCTAAACCCTAAACCCCCAAGGCCCTAAAGCCCTAAACCCTAGCCAGGCCGCGGAAGAGATCCTGCATCGAGCTGTGGACCTCCCCGAGCTCCCGGATGTAGTTATCCTTCAGCCTCCGAACTAAGGAAAGCCAGGGCTTGGGGGTTTGGGGGTTAGGGTTTAGGGGTTTAGGGGTTTAGGGGTTTAGGGGTTTAGGGGTTTAGGGGTTTAGGGGTCTAGGGTTGAGGGGTTTGGGGTTGAGGGGTTTGGGGTTGAGGGGTCTAGGGTTGAGGGGTTTAGGGCTTAGGGCTTAGCGTTTAGGGTTCAGGGTTCCGATACAGTTCTGGGGCTCCTTGTTCTACTGCTAGTGTGATATCCTCCATCCTCCGGCTTGGGAGTTCGGGCTGGGGGCTTCAAGTTTGGGACTAGGGTTTGGGGTTTTTTTGGGGGTTTTGGGGGATTCAGGTTTAGGGCTTGGGTTTAGAGCTTGGGGTTTAGAGCTCAGGGTTTATCGGGTTTAGAGCTTGGGGTTTAGGGCCTTAGGGCTTCGGGTTGAAGCCCTCGGGTGCAGAGTTTGGGGTAACCCTGAACCCTAAACCCTGTTAGAGTTTGGGATTTAGGGCTCAGCGTGTAGGGCTTCGGAGGTACAGTGCTCATTTTGCCGGTTTAGACTTTCGGGTGTAAGGCTTAGCTGGGGTGCGAAGCTCAGGGTTTAGAGTCTGGAGTTAAGGGTTTAAGCTTAGATGGGGTGTAAGGCTTAGGGTTTAGAGTTCGGAGGTAAGGGTTTAAGATTTTTACTGGAAGCTTAAAGGTTTAGACTTGCTTCGTTCATGTTATCTAGGAAGAGTCTTGGAATGAAACTTCGTGGGCTCGCTGAAAACCCCTACACCACAAGGGGTATATACTATAGAGAGGGTTCGCTGCATGCTTCCGGAGGTTGGGGTTGGTTGCAGACCTCAGCGACTTGATCTTGCGGACATCACCAGCTTACAAGATTACATAAGCTGCTGCGCTATTTTGCTGTGCTTATCGAGCTGCCGGCTGTCTTTAATTTGCCCCCCGAAGCTCGGTGTCTTCCAAAACCAAGCCAAAGCCAAGAGAACGGCTCTGCACTTTAGGGGTTTAGGGCTTTTTTTATCACCTCTTTTCCTTCGCCTGATAAGGGTTCCGGGGTTTAGGGTTTAGGATTTAGGGCTTTCCCCAAACGCCCCTACACGCTAAGCTCTTAGCCCTGAAACCCAACTGTGGGACTCCCCCGCGTACCACCCCACCCCCCGCCCCCCCGCCTCCGCACCGTGGACTTCTCGGGTGCCTGGTTCACCTTTGCTGGCTTTGGGGCGTGGGTTTAGGGCTGCGGGTTTAGGGTTTAGGGTTTAGGGCTTAGGGTTTAGGGTTTAGGGTGTAGCGTTTCAGGGTTTAGGGATCTGACAGGTGTATTGCCCCGCATGCAGAGTTCAGGATCAGGCTTCGGGCTTGGGATTTTCGAGTTGGCCAAGCAGTATCAGGGGAGAGGCATGCCTGAGCAAACAACTGCTGAACAGAGAACCAGAATATAATATAGCACAATCTAGTTTTTGTATAGCATCATATATTTCAATACAGCATAACACGGCACAAAATAATACAGTACAATATTAGAGAGCTGCTCTGCTCGCCCTACGACGACGACGACGACCGTGCCCTGGCCTGGCAGATCAGACTTCATGATCCGAATTTCCCATACCATTGGGGCATTAATCTGTAGACTAACAATAGTAATGTAACACTCGCTAATAATATTTCTACTCTTGCTTCTAATAATCTTATGGACGAAGAGCCCGCGATCTCGCAAGCCGGGAGATCTAGGAATCCAGTACCGGACCTGAAAATCTTGGCTGTGAAGCGCCTGCAGATCAGCCCTGCCATGACAGTCACCGTTTTTCAGATTTTGTTCCTGCAGTCAACCTCCAACCTCAAACCCAAAACTCTCAATTCTCAAGCCCTATCTCTCGTGGCATTGGAGAGAATGCGTGAGAACGAGTGGGCCAAGAGGGTGCCAAAAAAAAGATGTTGGGCATCGTTGCTTTGAAGCTTGCATGCACATAAAGTGTGCCCAAAAGTTCCAACATGGCACATTCAAAACGCCAGAAGCAAACCGTAAACCCTAACCTCACATCCCAAACCATACACCCAAACCAATAAACCCCAAACCCTAAACGTGTATACTCTAATTAAATACTAAGCCCCATACCCTAAATCTTAAACCCGAAACCCTACACCCCAGGCTCTAAACCCCAACTCCGAATGCTAATGAACCGAAGCTGGACCTCCTTGAGCCAGTGGTGGCGTGGCATGCGGAGCTTCTCCAGTGTTGCATTGACCTTAGGGTAAAATAGGGGCGTGAGTAACTGGAACGGCGAATTGCCTAGTACTTTTCAAAGGTTTCACAAGCCCAAAAATTAATACGGGTTATAGCATGATCGCTGACCGCCCGGCTTTCTTACGCTGACCAAAGGCTATCTGTCCAGTCGAAGCGAGAATGTTAACAGCTGGATAATGGCCATTCGTAAAAACAAACAGTGATGATCTTGGTACCGATAATCATACTCGTAATAAAACTGTTAGTAATAGTAAGAACAAGAAGAACTAATAATAGTAGTATCAACAATAATGACAAGAATGATAGTGACAACGATAGCAAGCTAGTGATTATGCGAAGATGTAGCGCCACTAGCGATTATGGCACGAGCACAGGCCGCCTTTCTGGATCCTAAACCTTAAACCCCAAACCCTAAACCCTAACCCCGAAGAGTGCATGCTGATGTCAGAGCTCCATCCGCTTCATGCTGCAGAGCCTTGCGTTTGTAGGGTTTAGGGGCTTCGGGTCCTTAAGGTTTAGGATTTGGGCAGTTCTGTAAATTGGGATCCCTTTTAGGGTCCGTTTTAGGAGGGTGCAGCATTATTTTGGTGACCGAAAAAAAGGGGACCCCACTTTAGAGAACTACCCTTAGAGTACCCTTAAAGAGACCCCATAGAAACTTGTATGGATCCCTTTAAGGAACCCCTGAAACCCTAAACCCTAAACCCTAAACCCGAAATCCTAAACCCTAAACCCTAAACCGTGACCCTAATTTAGAGAACTCATCGATGCCGCTCCAGCCTGATCCAGCGGAGGCCAGCTCGAGATCTGGCATGAACCGTTTCAAGCCGAAAACCCTGAACCCTGACCAAGGGTTTAGGGTTTGGGGTTTAGGTTTGGGTTTTTTGGGTTTGGGGTTTAGGGTTTAGGGTTTAGGGTTTGGGTTTTTGGGTTTAGGGTTTAGGGATTCGGGTCTGGGGTTTGGGGTTTAGGAGACTAGAGGTTAGGCTTAGGGTTGACCCCCACACTCTGAACCAAATTGCGACCGGTCTGCATGACCCTTGTGGAGCCACCGCACCAGCCGCCGGCGAGGCAGCGCAAGCGGCCGGAGCATTGCACAAATTCGGGCAAAGCACCCACGCTTAGGTCAGGATGAAGGTTCATAGAACTAAGGATCGTGTCGGTTTAGGGTTTAGGGCTTAGGGTTGACTGGCGGATCCTACTACTCGGGGGCCTGGGATCCCTTGATTTTCTGGAACTCCCTTGTGCTAGGCTGAGGAAGCTTAGTGAGGCCACAGGGTGCTCCCTGCGTGGGAGTATGTAAGATCACGGCCCTGAAGATCTGAATAGAGTAGGGCTTGGGGATGCCCTGGGTATAGTATACTAAGTTGAGGCGGGACTACAAGGAACATATTATATATATATATATATATACAGAAACACACCTGTGTTTATCTATTTGTTTGTTGTTTTTGATATTTACTACGAGCCATCTCCTGTGAAAGAGTGTAGGGTTTTGTACTTCTCGCCTCTGGTTGCTGTTTGGCTTTTTGATGTGTTGGAGAGGGTGCGCTTTTGAAGGTAGGGACCAGAATCCCTAATGT